GTATAGTCTCTGATCAGAGTGGGCTGTCCTCCCTCTCTGCAGTATAGTCTCTGATCAGAGTGGGCTGTCCTCCCTCTCTGCAGTATAGTCTCTGATCAGAGTGGGCTGTCCTCCCTCTCTGCAGTATAGTCTCTGATCAGAGTGTGCTGTCCTCCCTCTCTGCAGTATAGTCTCTGATCAGAGTGTGCTGTCCTCCCTCTCTGCAGTATAGTCTCTGATCAGAGTGGGCTGTCCTCCCTCTCTGCAGTATAGTCTCTGATCAGAGTGTGCTGTCCTCCCTCTCTGCAGTATAGTCTCTGATCAGAGTGTGCTGTCCTCCCTCTCTGCAGTATAGTCTCTGATCAGAATGTGCTGTCCTCCCTCTCTGCAGTATAGTCTCTGATCAGAGTGGGCTGTCCTCCCTCTCTGCAGTATAGTCTCTGATCAGAGTGTGCTGTCCTCCCTCTCTGCAGTATAGTCTCTGATCAGAGTGTGCTGTCCTCCCTCTCTGCAGTATAGTCTCTGATCAGAGTGTGCTGTCCTCCCTCTCTGCAGTATAGTCTCTGATCAGAGTGGGCTGTCCTCCCTCTCTGCAGTATAGTCTCTGATCAGAGTGTGCTGTCCTCCCTCTCTGCAGTATAGTCTCTGATCAGAGTGTGCTGTCCTCCCTCTCTGCAGTATAGTCTCTGATCAGAGTGTGCTGTCCTCCCTCTCTGCAGTATAGTCTCTGATCAGAGTGTGCTGTCCTCCCTCTCTGCAGTATAGTCTCTGATCAGAGTGGGCTGTCCTCCCTCTCTGCAGTATAGTCTCTGATCAGAGTGGGCTGTCCTCCCTCTCTGCAGTATAGTCTCTGATCAGAGTGGGCTGTCCTCCCTCTCTGCAGTATAGTCTCTGATCAGAGTGTGCTGTCCTCCCTCTCTGCAGTATAGTCTCTGATCAGAGTGTGTTGTCCTCCCTCTCTGCAGTATAGTCTCTGATCAGAGTGGGCTGTCCTCCCTCTCTGCAGTATAGTCTCTGATCAGAGTGGGCTGTCCTCCCTCTCTGCATATAGTCTCTGATCAGAGTGGGCTGTCCTCCCTCTCTGCAGTATAGTCTCTGATCAGAGTGGGCTGTCCTCCCTCTCTGCAGTATAGTCTCTGATCAGAGTGGGCTGTCCTCCCTCTCTGCAGTATAGTCTCTGATCAGAGTGGGCTGTCCTCCCTCTCTGCAGTATAGTCTCTGATCAGAGTGGGCTGTCCTCCCTCTCTGAAGTATAGTCTCTGATCAGAGTGGGCTGTCCTCCCTCTCTGCAGTATAGTCTCTGATCAGAGTGGGCTGTCCTCCCTCTCTGCAGTATAGTCTCTGATCAGAGTGTGCTGTCCTCCCTCTCTGCAGTATAGTCTCTGATCAGAGTGTGCTGTCCTCCCTCTCTGCAGTATAGTCTCTGATCAGAGTGTGCTGTCCTCCCTCTCTGCAGTATAGTCTCTGATCAGAGTGGGCTGTCCTCCCTCTCTGCAGTATAGTCTCTGATCAGAGTGGGCTGTCCTCCCTCTCTGCAGTATAGTCTCTGATCAGAGTGGGCTGTCCTCCCTCTCTGCAGTATAGTCTCTGATCAGAGTGGGCTGTCCTCCCTCTCTGCAGTATAGTCTCTGATCAGAGTGGGCTGTCCTCCCTCTCTGCAGTATAGTCTCTGATCAGAGTGTGCTGTCCTCCCTCTCTGCAGTATAGTCTCTGATCAGAGTGGGCTGTCCTCCCTCTCTGCAGTATAGTCTCTGATCAGAGTGTGCTGTCCTCCCTCTCTGCAGTATAGTCTCTGATCAGAGTGTGCTGTCCTCCCTCTCTGCAGTATAGTCTCTGATCAGAATGTGCTGTCCTCCCTCTCTGCAGTATAGTCTCTGATCAGAGTGGGCTGTCCTCCCTCTCTGCAGTATAGTCTCTGATCAGAGTGGGCTGTCCTCCCTCTCTGCAGTATAGTCTCTGATCAGAGTGTGCTGTCCTCCCTCTCTGCAGTATAGTCTCTGATCAGAGTGTGCTGTCCTCCCTCTCTGCAGTATAGTCTCTGATCAGAGTGGGCTGTCCTCCCTCTCTGCAGTATAGTCTCTGATCAGAGTGGGCTGTCCTCCCTCTCTGCAGTATAGTCTCTGATCAGAGTGGGCTGTCCTCCCTCTCTGCAGTATAGTCTCTGATCAGAGTGTGCTGTCCTCCCTCTCTGCAGTATAGTCTCTGATCAGAGTGTGTTGTCCTCCCTCTCTGCAGTATAGTCTCTGATCAGAGTGGGCTGTCCTCCCTCTCTGCAGTATAGTCTCTGATCAGAGTGGGCTGTCCTCCCTCTCTGCAGTATAGTCTCTGATCAGAGTGGGCTGTCCTCCCTCTCTGCAGTATAGTCTCTGATCAGAGTGTGCTGTCCTCCCTCTCTGCAGTATAGTCTCTGATCAGAGTGGGCTGTCCTCCCTCTCTGCAGTATAGTCTCTGATCAGAGTGTGCTGTCCTCCCTCTCTGCAGTATAGTCTCTGATCAGAGTGTGCTGTCCTCCCTCTCTGCAGTATAGTCTCTGATCAGAATGTGCTGTCCTCCCTCTCTGCAGTATAGTCTCTGATCAGAGTGGGCTGTCCTCCCTCTCTGCAGTATAGTCTCTGATCAGAGTGGGCTGTCCTCCCTCTCTGCAGTATAGTCTCTGATCAGAGTGTGCTGTCCTCCCTCTCTGCAGTATAGTCTCTGATCAGAGTGTGCTGTCCTCCCTCTCTGCAGTATAGTCTCTGATCAGAGTGGGCTGTCCTCCCTCTCTGCAGTATAGTCTCTGATCAGAGTGTGCTGTCCTCCCTCTCTGCAGTATAGTCTCTGATCAGAGTGTGCTGTCCTCCCTCTCTGCAGTATAGTCTCTGATCAGAGTGTGCTGTCCTCCCTCTCTGCAGTATAGTCTCTGATCAGAGTGTGCTGTCCTCCCTCTCTGCAGTATAGTCTCTGATCAGAGTGGGCTGTCCTCCCTCTCTGCAGTATAGTCTCTGATCAGAGTGTGCTGTCCTCCCTCTCTGCAGTATAGTCTCTGATCAGAGTGGGCTGTCCTCCCTCTCTGCAGTATAGTTATTGCAGGCCTGCATTGACAGGCACCAGCGGTCTTTCCATCAGTCTCAACATGCATGTTTAGATCAAAGCGAGCCACGTGGGAACATTTGTTGATATTCATCGCTAGCTGGTGAGTTACTTGGCCAGTTATAGCTCATTTTTGGTCAGCAAAGGAAATCCTGGAAAAGTCATGATGTGTGCATCACCTGCGTGTGTGTCAGGTCAGAGGGTCAGAGGAGAGTGACTGCAGCATCAGGTAGAATAATGATATGCAACAGACCAGCTAAATAGACAATTAAAAATATAGTGTGTAGTTTGGCAGGTTCTCGCTAGTTGGAGTAAAAGTTTAACTTCCCTAATTGTTGTAAGAAAAGTGGAGATAAAATGAATCTCTTTAAAGTCTTTAGAAGTTTAACGACTTTAATTAGAATTTCATTAAAATATTTGATAAAATATGTGAAAAGTCCGGACTGGGTTTAATGGGTACTGACTGTAACCTGTAAACCCATGGGTGTTCCAAATAAGCCCACCTCTTAAATAATATATTTTAATTAATTTAGAAATGTTCAAAACTTACAAACTGACATTCCTTATGTAACAATCTCCCCTAAAGTTATTAAAATAAACGTATCATTACTATTCATCATGACAGTAGCACTCATAACAGGAGGTCCAACCGTATCCACAGATCAATGAAGACTCATGCTTTTGTTCTTTCCAACCAGTACACATCTGATTCAACTAATCAACTAATCATAGACTTCAATCAAGACATGATTAGTTGAACCAGGTGTGTTATTGCTTGGTTAGAACACAAACCTGCACCCAGACTGGCCCTCTGTGGATAAGAAGCCATGCAACAAAGACCATAACACAAACAACGTTGAATGAATTATCTGAAAGCTGATTCACGTTTGCTGTACTGCTATTCTTGTTAATTAGTTCAACATGTCTTCCTAAAAAATCTCCCTCTAATGTGTATTACAAAGGTACATGTGGTGAACCCAAAAAAAAACACCTGGATGAAAGAGGGACAACACTATGCCAATGCCCCCCGGCCCTAACTGCATGAGTAGTCGCCCAATAGTCATCTTCTTGTCCCTCATTTGTTCGCATCTTGTCCACCATTTTATGTTCTGTCCCTGATGTCCCTCAACCCTGGTCTTCTTCTACTCTCTGCACCAACCACTTCCTGTCCACTCCAAACGTCTTGGAGACAGAACAGAGGTTTCTAATTGTTACGAATCTTGGTAAAGGCTCCACGGCTAGATGCATAATATGCAGAACTGTAGTTTGTGTGTGTTTCAATCAACTTAAATCTGCAGAAAGAAAACATATTTATGCTCAGGTTGTATTGAATATTAGGGATTTTCCATTCTGTATAGAGGGAATTATGTCTGTGCTACTGAACCCTTTAAGCCCACCTGAGATAAATGTCAAATTAAAAAAATGGCATCTATATATAACAATGCAAGATTAATTTAACAGTAAAATGAGACAAAATGCATTTAAAAATGTACGCTGTGAACGCCTGAAATCTATTATCTTGTTGTGGTTCACCAAGTTATGTTGCTACTGTGAGACTGTGACATGCAGCCACGACTGCTAGCAGGAAAAACCCATATATTCAACTGGCAAGTAGTAGTAATGAATGCCCACAAGTTAGTATTCATAGTAGTAATGAATGCCCTGGCAAGTAGTAGTAATGAATGCCCATATATTCAAGTTAGTATTCATAGTAGTAATGAATGCCCACAAGTTAGTATTCATAGTAGTAATGAATGCCCACAAGTTAGTATTCATAGTAGTAATGAATGCCCACAAGTTAGTATTCATAGTAGTAATGAATGCCCACAAGTTAGTATTCATAGTAGTAATGAATGCCCACAAGTTAGTATTCATAGTAGTAATGAATGCCCACAAGTTAGTATTCATAGTAGTAATGAATGCCCACAAGTTAGTATTCATAGTAGTAATGAATGCCCACAAGTTAGTATTCATAGTAGTAATGAATGCCCATATATTAGTTAGTATTCATAGTAGTAATGAATGCCCATGAAAGATGAAAGATCCTATCATGTGCATGTGGGTCCGCGATGATTAATGGTTTCAACATGGGGGAACATTTCTATAAGTTAAAAATGCAAATTATTACTATTATTATTATTACTTTTTTTAAAAAGTCATTTAGCAGATGCTCTTATCCAGAGCGACTTACAGGAGCAATTAGGGTTAAGTGCCTTGCTCAAGGGCACATCAACAGATTTTCCACCTAGTCGGCTCGGGGATTAGAACCAGCGACCTTTTGGTTACTGGCACAACGCTCTTAACCACTAAAGCTACCTGCCGTCCTCTCTCTACCTTTATTAGAGTGTTGTGTATGTTTCAATAAGTTTTATTCACCAAGACATGCATTTTAATTATGAATCATACGATTTCTCCTGTGAAAAATGTCATTCGGTGTAACGGTAATAATGGGGTTAGGGTTAGGGTTAGGGTTAGGGTTAGGGTTAGGGTTAGCCCTAACCGAAAGACATACTATGAGATCCCACTTTGGATGATCATAAAATATTGTCTCAGCAACAAAGATGTACTTAAAACACAACTGAAGGCAATAAACAATTTATCTGCTAGAAAATGGCTCTGTGGCATCGATGTTAGTCAGAAACATTTATTCTAGTGTCAAAATTGACTACAAAGTGTAAATAGGATAATTTTGGTCATAAAGTCAGTCTGGTCCAAAACACAGTTTTGTAAGTGAGTTCATCATGACTTACTTGAGGGTTGGGTTTGGATTTCACAATGCTCACTCTTCCATTAACATGGGACGCACAGCTACAGTGATTGGCCTCTATCCAATCCTACCACAGGACACACAGTAAGACAGACAGACAGACCTACCCAGCAGGACACACAGAAAGTGAGACAGACAGACCTACTCTGCACCGGTACCCCCCTGTATACAGTGGGGAAAAAAAGTATTTAGTCAGCCACCAATTGTGCAAGTTCTCCCACTTAAAAAGATGAGAGAGGCCTGTAATTTTCATCATAGGTACACGTCAACTATGACAGACAAAATGAGGAGAAAAAAATCCAGAAAATCACATTGTAGGATTTTTAATGAATTTATTTGCAAATTATGGTGGAAAATAAGTATTTGGTCAATAACAAAAGTTTCTCAATACTTTGTTATATACCCTTTGTTGGCAATGACACAGGTCAAACGTTTTCTGTAAATCTTCACAAGGTTTTCACACACTGTTGCTGGTATTTTGGCCCATTCCTCCATGCAGATCTCCTCTAGAGCAGTGATGTTTTGGGGCTGTCGCTGGGCAACACGGACTTTCAACTCCCTCCAAAGATGTTCTATGGGGTTGAGATCTGGAGACTGGCTAGGCCACTCCAGGACCTTGAAATGCTTCTTACGAAGCCACTCCTTCGTTGCCCGGGCGGTGTGTTTGGGATCATTGTCATGCTGAAAGACCCAGCCACGTTTCATCTTCAATGCCCTTGCTGATGGAAGGAGGTTTTCACTCAAAATCTCACGATACATGGCCCCATTCATTCTTTCCTTTACACGGATCAGTCGTCCTGGTCCCTTTGCAGAAAAACAGCCCCAAAGCATGATGTTTCCACCCCCATGCTTCACAGTAGGTATGGTGTTCTTTGGATGCAACTCATTCTTTGTCCTCCAAACACGACGAGTTGAGTTTTTACCAAAAAGTTATATTTTGGTTTCATCTGACCATATGACATTCTCCCAATCCTCTTCTGGATCATCCAAATGCACTCTAGCAAACTTCAGACGGGCCTGGACATGTACTGGCTTAAGCAGGGGGACACGTTTGGCACTGCAGGATTTGAGTCCCTGGCGGCGTAGTGTGTTACTGATGGTAGGCTTTGTTACTTTGGTCCCAGCTCTCTGCAGGTCATTCACTAGGTCCCCCCGTGTGGTTCTGGGATTTTTGCTCACCGTTCTTGTGATCATTTTGACCCCACGGGGTGAGATCTTGCGTGGAGCCCCAGATCGAGGGAGATTATCAGTGGTCTTGTATGTCTTCCATTTCCTAATAATTGCTCCCACAGTTGATTTCTTCAAACCAAGCTGCTTACCTATTGCAGATTCAGTCTTCCCAGCCTGGTGCAGGTCTTCAATTTTGTTTCTGGTGTCCTTTGACAGCTCTTTGGTCTTGGCCATAGTGGAGTTTGGAGTGTGACTGTTTGAGGTTGTGGACAGGTGTCTTTTATACTGATAACAAGTTCAAACAGGTGCCATTAATACAGGTAACGAGTGGAGGACAGAGGAGCCTCTTAAAGAAGAAGTTACAGTTCTGTGAGAGCCAGAAATCTTGCTTGTTTGTAGGTGACCAAATACTTATTTTCCACCATAATTTGCAAATAAATTCATTAAAAACCTGTGTCATTGCCAACAAAGGGTATATAACACATTTCCAAATTCACATCAAAGAAGCGATCAGCTCAGTCATGAGTTGCCCCTCTCCTCTCCTCCTCTCCCTCCTTCTCATTGGTATTCATGGGCCATGTTCAGGATTTAAGATATGTGCCTTCAACATCCAGAACTTCGATGCCACCAAATCAGCCAACTGCAGGGTGATGCACACTCTGACAAAGATTGTGTCTCGTTGTGACATCTGTCTCCTTCAGGAGGTAAAAGACCTACAGGGCGAAGCCACCAAAGCTCTGTTGATACAGTACCAGATATGATGACAACTATCACTATAAATATGTTGCCAGTGGAGGTCTGGGGCGAACACCTGAAGACCAGGAGCAGAGTACCGGAATGAGAAGACAAAGAATAAAGTTGACAGATCGGTACCAGTACGCTGACAGAAAGGAGGGGGGTGTGGATGCTTTCTCCAGAGACCCCTTTGTTGTTAGATTCCAAGCCAAGGAAACAGTGATAGGAGACTTTGCTCTGATCCCGTTGCACACTACGGCCTCTGATTGACAAGCTCTACGATGTCTTTGAGGAAATCAAAATGAAGTGGAATACTGAGAAAGTGATGTTCCTTGGAGCCTTCAATGCTGGTTGTGGGCACATCACAAGGCAGGACAAGGCAAACATCAGACTGTTCTCAAACCCTGGATTCTTCTGGTTGATCGGGGACAAGGTGGACACCACTGTTGGAGACCTCACCAGCTGTGCCTATGACAGGATTGTGGTACACGGACAGCCCTTCCTGAAGGCCATCCAAACCTTATTCAGCTCGGGTCTTCAACATCGCCAAGGAGTATAAACTCTCAAAGGAAAGGGTTCTGGAAGTGAGTGACCACTTACCTGTGGAGGTGGAGCTGAAGACTAAATCGTTAGGGCAGCTTCAAGCTCAGGTTCAGCCTCTCCTCCTAATCGCCGTCTCTGTCATCACCTACGTCCTGCACATCTTACCTTCAACCAGTGTGGTGTGAGGAGGACTGAGGGCCTTCTCAGGAGTATGGACCATAGAAATAGAATTCATTCATCTAAAACTTCCATGAGCAGCTGGTCCTCTCATGCAGGGGTTCACAAACCGGGGCTAGACGCTTCACCGCCTGAACTAGCTAACCTGATCAATCTAATCAAGGTCTTGATGAAAAATGTATGCACTCACTTAACTGTAAGTCGCTCTGGATAAGAGCGTCTGCTAAATGACAAAAAAATAAAAAATGTAACAAAGTATTGAGAAACTTTTGTTATTGACCAAATACTTATTTTCCACCATAATTTGCAAATAAATTCATAAAAAATCCTACAATGTGATTTTCAGGAAAAAAAAATCTCATTTTGTCTGTCATAGTTGACGTGTACCTATGATGAAAATTACAGGCCTCTCTCATCTTTTTAAGTGGGAGAACTTGCACAATTGGTGGCTGACTAAATAATTTTTCCCCCCACTGTATTTGATAAGGTACAAAAAAAGATCTGAAAAAATGTGTTTATCTGGGGTTGCCTCAACACCAAAGTTTTGTTACAGCTTTGAAATTGTCCACTAGTGGGAACTTACAGTCAATAACTGAATAATAAAACGTCTGATTGGCTTAGAATAAAATATGTAAATAAGCAGATGAAAACGTTTCTTTTTTTCTTTTTGTTTTCTTTGTGGGCCCAGACACATGCACACAAACACGACAGATATGTGGTAGTAGAGTAGGGGCCTGAGGCCATGTTGTGAAATCTGTTGTGAATGTATTGTAGTGTTTTTCAAATGTATAACTGCCTTCATTTTGCTGGACCCCAGGAAGAGTAGCTGCTGCCTTGGCAGGAACTAATGGGGATCCATAATAAACCCCAGGAAGAGTAGCTGCTGCCTTGGCAGGAACTAATGGGGATCCATAATAAACCCCAGGAAGAGTAGCTGCTGCCTTGGCAGGAACTAATGGGGATCCTTAATAAACCCCAGGAAGAGTAGCTGCTGCCTTGGCAGGAACTAATGGGGATCCGTAATAAACCCCAGGAAGAGTAGCTGCTGCCTTGGCAGGAACTAATGGGGATCCATAATAATCCCCAGGGAGAGTAGCTGCTGCCTTGGCAGGAACTAATGGGGATCCATAATAAACCCCAGGAAGAGTAGCTGCTGCCTTGGCAGGAACTAATGGGGATCCTTAATAAACCCCAGGAAGAGTAGCTGCTGCCTTGGCAGGAACTAATGGGGATCCATAATAATCCCCAGGAAGAGTAGCTGCTGCCAAGGCTACTTAGCAATTACCACGTATTAATGTCAACAACTTTCCACCAGCACTTGTGTACAACCGCAAATGGCCGTCACACAGTTGCAGAGCTGCATACTCTGGTTGTAAAAATTAGGTGTTGAGAAATTATTCCGACACCGTTGGAAAGCTGGGATTCTCCTCTATTCAATACTGGCCAGTGGTGGAAAAGGTACCCAACTGTCATTCTTGAGTAAAAGTAACGATACCTTAATAGAAAATCACTCAAATAAAAGTGAATGTCACCCAGTAAAATACTACTTTAGTATCAAAGTAAATGTAATTGATAAAATATACTTAAGTATGTGGATGAGCAGGGGTACCAGGTAATAACATGGCTATATACAGGAAGTACCAGTACTGAGTGGATGAGCAGGGGTACCAGGTAATAACATGGCTATATACAGGAAGTACCAGTACTGAGTTGATGAGCAGGGGTACCAGGTAATAACATGGTTATATACAAGGAGTACCAGTACTGAGTTGATGAGCAGGGGGTACCAGGTAATAACATGGCTATATACAGGAAGTACCAGTACTGAGTGGATGAGCAGGGGTACCAGGTAATAACATGGCTATATACAGGAAGTACCAGTACTGAGTTGATGAGCAGGGGTACCAGGTAATAACATGGTTATATACAAGGAGTACCAGTACTGAGTTGATGAGCAGGGGTACCAGGTAATAACATGGCTATATACAGGAAGTACCAGTACTGAGTGGATGAGCAGGGGTACCAGGTAATAACATGGCTATATACAGGAAGAACCAGTACTGAGTGGATGAGCAGGGGTACCAGGTAATAACATGGTTATATACAAGGAGTACCAGTACTGAGTTGATGAGCAGGGGTACCAGGTAATAACATGGCTATATACAGGAAGTACCAGTACTGAGTTGATGAGCAGGGGTACCAGGTAATAACATGGCTATATACAGGAAGTACCAGTACTGAGTCCATGTGCAGGGGTACCAGGTAATAACATGGCTATATACAGGAAGTACCAGTACTGAGTGGATGAGCAGGGGTACCAGGTAATAACATGGCTATATACAGGAAGTACCAGTACTGAGTTGATGAGCAGGGGTACCAGGTAATAACATGGCTATATACAGGAAGTACCAGTACCAAGTTGATGTGCAGGGGTACCAGGTAATAACATGGCTATATACAGGAAGTACCAGTACTGAGTGGATGAGCAGGGGTACCAGGTAATAACATGGCTATATACAGGAAGTACCAGTACTGAGTTGATGAGCAGGGGTACCAGGTAATAACATGGCTATATACAGGAAGTACCAGTACTGAGTTGATGAGCAGGGGTACCAGGTAATAACATGACTATATACAGGGAGTACCAGTACTGCGTTGATGAGCAGGGGTACCAGGTAATAACATGGCTATATACAGGGAGTACCAGTACTGAGTTGATGAGCAGGGGTACCAGGTAATAACATGGCTATATACAGGAAGTACCAGTACCTAGTTAATGTCCAGGTAATAACATGGTTATATACAGGAAGTACCAGTACCTAGTTAATGTCCAGGTAATAACATGGTTATATACAGGAAGTACCAGTACTGAGTGGATGAGCAGGGGTACCAGGTAATAACATGGCTATATACAGGAAGTACCAGTACTGAGTTGATGAGCAGGGGTACCAGGTAATAACATGGCTATATACAGGAAGTACCAGTACTGAGTTGATGAGCAGGGGTACCAGGTAATAACATGGCTATATACAGGAAGTACCAGTACTGAGTGGATGAGCTGGGGTACCAGGTAATAACATGGCTATATACAGGGAGTACCAGTACTGAGTTGATGAGCAGGGGTACCAGGTAATAACATGGCTATATACAGGAAGTACCAGTACCAAGTTGATGTGCAGGGATACCAGGTAATAACATGGCTATATACAGGAAGTACCAGTACTGAGTGGATGAGCAGGGGTACCAGGTAATAACATGGCTATATACAGGAAGTACCAGTACCAAGTTGATGTGCAGGGATACCAGGTAATAACATGGCTATATACAGGAAGTACCAGTACTGAGTGGATGAGCAGGGGTACCAGGTAATAACATGGCTATATACAGGAAGTACCAGTACTGAGTGGATGAGCTGGGGTACCAGGTAATAACATGGCTATATACAGGGAGTACCAGTACTGAGTTGATGAGCAGGGGTACCAGGTAATAACATGGCTATATACAGGAAGTACCAGTACTGAGTTGATGAGCAGGGGTACCAGGTAATAACATGGCTATATAAAGGAAGTACCAGTACTGAGTTGATGAGCAGGGGTACCAGGTAATAACATGGCTATATACAGGGAGTACCAGTACTGAGTTGATGAGCAGGGGTACCAGGTAATAACATGGCTATATACAGGAAGTACCAGTACCAAGTTGATGTGCAGGGATACCAGGTAATAACATGGCTATATACAGGAAGTACCAGTACTGAGTGGATGAGCAGGTGTACCAGGTAATAACATGGCTATATACAGGAAGTACCAGTACTGAGTTGATGAGCAGGGGTACCAGGTAATAACATGGCTATATACAGGAAGTACCAGTACCAAGTTGATGTGCAGGGGTACCAGGTAATAACATGGCTATATACAGGAAGTACCAGTACTGAGTGGATGAGCAGGGGTACCAGGTAATAACATGGCTATATACAGGAAGTACCAGTACTGAGTTGATGAGCAGGGGTACCAGGTAATAACATGGCTATATACAGGAAGTACCAGTACTGAGTTGATGAGCAGGGGTACCAGGTAATAACATGGCTATATACAGGAAGTACCAGTACTGAGTGGATGAGCAGGGGTACCAGGTAATAACATGGCTATATACAGGAAGTACCAGTACTGAGTTGATGAGCAGGGGTACCAGGTAATAACATGGCTATATACAGGAAGTACCAGTACTGAGTGGATGAGCAGGGGTACCAGGTAATAACATGGCTATATACAGGAAGTACCAGTACTGAGTGGATGAGCAGGGGTACCAGGTAATAACATGGCTATATACAGGAAGTACCAGTACTGAGTGGATGAGCAGGGGTACCAGGTAATAACATGGCTATATACAGGAAGTACCAGTACTGAGTGGATGAGCAGGGGTACCAGGTAATAACATGGCTATATACAGGAAGTACCAGTACTGAGTGGATGAGCAGGGGTACCAGGTAATAACATGGCTATATACAGGAAGTACCAGTACTGAGTGGATGAGCAGGGGTACCAGGTAATCACATGGTTATATACAAGGAGTACCAGTACTGAGTCAATGTGCAGGGGTACGAGGTAATAACATGGCTATATACAAGGAGTACCAGTACTGAGTCAATGTGCAGGGGTACCAGGTAATAACATGGCTATATACAGGGAGTACCAGTACTGAGTCGATGAGCAGGGGTACCAGGTAATATCATGGCTATATACAGGAAGTACCAGTACTGAGTTGATGAGCAGGGGTACCAGGTAATAACATGGCTATATACAGGAAGTACCAGTACCAAGTTGATGAGCAGGGGTACCA